TTAAAAAATTTAAATATTAAAAAAATTAGTAAAAATCTTCACAGGCAAATTTGCCTGTGTTACAATTTAAGGGATAGTATGCAAAAAGAAAGATGAAAATATAGAACATTTGGTTAGCTATGAGTTCTCAACAAACCTTTTAAGAAATATAGAAGAACAAGAAGTAGAAAAAGCTCTTGATAAAATAGTACTAGAAAATATAGAAGAAAAGAAAGAGTTAATACTTTTAGTGTTAGAAAAAGGTAGCATATTTGAAGAGCTACAAAGAAGAGCTAAATAGATCAGAGGTCTAATTACAAAAAAAGATTTTGATGAGCTGCGACAAAATTTTGACTCAAACAAGCAGACCCTTAGCAAAACTCTAGAAGAACTGAATAAAACAAGTTTATGAAAAGATATGGATAGCAAGGTGCAAACTAGTTTAAGAATAGGAAAGAAAAATCAGAATAATGAAAAGAGCTAAAAAAAAATCCAACTCAAGACCCAAGTATAAAATAAACAGAAAGAGGAGAAGAAAAAAAGAAAAAAGTAAAGATAGGGAGAGAGAGACAGGAAAATCTAAAAAAGAAAGCAAAGCATGTTGGGGAGTTATGCTAAATCTAGCCAAGAAAGCAGTTCTAGATTGAATTAAGAAGAAACAATATGCATCATGGTAGAAAGCTAATTAGTAGTCTTGACAGGCTATAGGAACTATCCAATAAAGTATTAACAAGCTTATATCAAAGTAAGTTGATACTGAGGTAAACTTCTACTATAGCAGGTCACACATAGGTGTTCTAGAAACAACCAGGTAAGCCAATACTTGTAACTTAGATATCAAAAGAAATACTTTTTGTAAAAGTCGTAAAATTTTATATATAATATAAAAATTATGATAACCTAATAAAGTAGCAGCAAGACTGCCAAATTAGAAAATATATATATATATATATATATATACAAGATTATAATCTTAGTAACACAACTCTAGATATATTAACTGTTTCAATATTTATTTAATAGTATTATCTATATGAAGCAAATATTATATAGCAACAGCTACTTCAATATAAAACTCGAACTGGCATATTTAATTTTAACTTGGCTTGAAATGCAATAGATGAAGTAGATCTTGGTATTATTGTATAGAAGACAGAAGGACAAGAAATACATTTCCATAGGTAGAAAGAAATCAGCTTCTGAATTAGATAAACTTACATCTAGAATCTTTACAATTCCATCATTATCAGCAGCTTCTGAGTAAAATTAATCAAATTTTTTCTATATTCATAATAAAAAATGAAGTTAGTTAACACCACAAACTTACATGCCCAAGACTAGAATTATCTGATATAGTGGAGGCAGCATTACGTTTCAATAATAAACCTTGTGAAAGTTCTAAATTTGAGTTATTAGACTTTAATAATAGTAATAAAAGTAATGAAGATGAATTGAAAGATGAATTGGCAAAAAGTAATAAAGACAAGATTATAGAATTAACTGAATCTGAAACAAAGTTATTAACAGATATAAAATTTTTATATTACCAAGTACAATATAAAATGCTAGCAAAATTAGAGCAAAAAAGATAAGTGTAAAATATTTATTATTATAATAGAAGTATTAACAGATACAGGACATGTCCTCTTGGTTGTTGTCATATATAAATTTTTTTTTTTTTAATTATAAGGGTGTAGCACCTGCACTTAGACTTTATTTAATACTTAAATAATTAACATATGATAGTGCCGATATATATACATATTACATCAAGTACTAAGACTAGAATATCAGGTATACAGGCCATTTATCCATGGCTAAAACCTACCAAAGCTGACCATATTCCCACTAAACAGCTGACCTGGATTTATACATCTCTCTCTAACCACCAATTAGTATTCACATGTCTGCCACATTACTTACAAACTATTTATCTTCAACTTCCAAATCAGTGTGTATCAGGTAGATGCTTATTGCTTTTGGTTTGGTATACCTATTAAAGAGATTTTCTCTCTTAATTCCTACTTAGCATACTTCTAGGAGTTTGTATCTCAAGCCATGCAGCTACCTTTATCCAAACAGGTAAGTATCTCAAGCCTGTATGCTGCTATAGCTAGCTGGTTTCCTGCGACTTTCAGGACCCAGGTCTTAATATATCCAATTAGGTCTGTGCTAATGACTGTACTTCCCAATATGGTGATAAGGCTGCTTAGGCATGTTTTGCAAATACTTCCAGTAGTTAGTATAGTTGGATGGCATCATGAAGCTCAGAGGTAACAGGTGCATTATCGTTTCTTTTTATGGTGATTCTTGGCAGTTGTAGCTTCTGGTTACCACTGCATGTGCTTATACTAGCTATACCTATATTGGTAGTTCTGAGTCCTCTTAATGCCAAAGGCTCCTATATAGATACGACCAGAGCCTGTTAGGTCTATCAACATGTACATGCCTTCATGCTTCAACTTCTTATTGGCCAGTGAGTTTCATATATGCCAGAGGTGTTCCAAATCTGATAAGGCCAATTCTTTACCACAGGTCCCTTTGTGTTCACCACATTTCTTACCACTTTTCAATTTTGGTTACTGCCCAGTCATCCTTCCAAACAAGATCCTCAATACTGCCTTAGGGGTTGTTGGTACTACCTTGCTAATTACGGATTTACACACACAACCTTTGTGTAATAGAACCTTCTGTAACAACTACTGTTACACGTAGTATCAACTACTCCACAATAGACCTCCTTTCAGAAATTTCTAATCCAGACTTGTATTTACTTGGACTTTCTATAGCAGATATTTTCAAATATTCGTAGGTAAAAGTGCCTACTAAGACTTGAACCTGAAACTTGCTCGTGGAGGGTTGGGTGCCTAGACCACTAGGCTGCAGGATCCCAACCCCTGTCACATATAAATTAAGTAAGTTGACTAACCCAAATTTATATGTAAAATTTGATAAAAAAAACACTTTTTTTTAATTTACTAAGAAAGTAAATATAAAAAATAATTTTAAATATAGAATTTATATTCTTTAGCATTTGATGATTCTTTAACAAAAATTATAAAACTAAACACCAAGTAGTTTTAAAAGGATCTTAAGCTAAAGTTGTTCAATTCTTCTCTATATCCTTTAAGTCAAATAACTGACTTACAGTACATAATACAATAATATGATTGGCTAAAGCAATCCTTTAAAAATTAAAGAAAGTTCTACTAAGTAAAGGTCTCTTTTGATTCTAAAAAAACTTGTAAAAGAGGTTTTTAGAATTTCAACAGTAGTTAAATTATCCAAATCAGCTTGGTGAATCCCAAGATACTTGGGGGGATCGCTAAAGCCTTGTACCTACATAATTTTTAAAGTTTCAATTGTAATTAGAGTTAGAGTTAGAGTTAGTTTAGTGTTAGAGTAAAAGTAGTTTTATAAGTAAAATTGTCTCTTTAACATTTTTTATTAATACAACAAGACAGGTTAAGACTACCATTTTTCATATTTTTGCATTTTTATAAAAGTCATGTAAATACAAGGTTTTAGCAGACCCCTACTTGGGGTTAAAGATGCAAACCTAGGGATCTGCAAAGTTATTATTACACAAAAAACAATTGTCAATTAGATAATTGTCCTTTGTATAATAGTGACTTTGCAGATTCCTATATTCATGTCTTTAACCCCAAGTATTTTGGATCCACTAAGCCAATTTGGATAATTTAACTACTGTTAAAATTCTAAAAACCTTCTTTACAAGTTTTCTTAGAACCAGAAGAGACCTTTACTTAGTAGAACTTTCTTTAATTTTCAAAAGATTGCTTTAGCCAATCATATTATTGCTTTAATTTTACAGGAGTTGTAAAGGCAAAAAATACACCAACTTTAGAGCAAGATCCTTTTAAAACTACTTGGTGTTTAGTTCTATAACTTTTGTTAAAGGATTATCAAATGCTAAAAAATATAAGTCTCATATTTAAAATTATTTTTTATATTTACTTTCTTGAGTAAATTAAAGAAAAGTGTTTTTTTTACCAAATTTTACATATAAATTTGGGTAAGTCAATTCATTTGATTTATATGTGACAACATTTTGAACCCCTGTAGGGGGCATGTCCTGTGTCTGTTATGTTTATTGACACAGGATTGTTATGTCGGACACTGTGCAATAAGTTAGTTATTGTATGGGTATATTGAGTACCTAATTACACGCACAGGTTCATATTTAAATTCTGTGCAACCCATACAATTACTATAAATAATTTATACAATCAAACTTTTTAAAAAATCTGACCTTAACTCTAGGGCATAGAATCGATTTTACTGTCACATGATTTTCCAACATCTTTCAGCCAATTATTGCGCTTTGCAAAAAGATGTGACTACTGCAGATCGCAATGTCATTTGAAAATTGAAGATTTTGTAGATTTTAAGAATCTTGCCGGTTTCAAATAAAATATAAATATAATTGATAGAAAATATGAATTAATAGACAATTTAGAATCTCAGAAATTTCCCTCGTTCAACATCACAAAAATCATGGGTCACATCTTTTTGCAAAGCGCTATAAAATTCAGGATCAGGTGTAATGTAAAAAGCAAAAATCGCATTTATCTCGAAATTTAGCCTAGTAAACTATCTTTGATGCTCTAACAAAAAAATTCCTCGTGCAATTTTACTATATAGCCACTCTTTCTAATCCTCTTAAACCAAACCAAAAATTTAAACAAAGTTTTTTAGGGTTGACAATATTTGTTCTGACTATCACATGACAGTAAAAACAATCATAAGCCCTGTCAAAATTCTTAACTCTCCACATCCTTCCGAGGAACACACTCGTGATTTAGGTTCACTGATTATTTGATTTTGCTTAAATTCGCTAAAAATTTTACGAATTATGCCCGAATTATGTTAAATCTACTCTGATGCCCAATATGCTATCGCATATGCTATGTGATAAAATCCATGTTTATGCGCATATTACGCTATCGCAGATTTTCGGTGGCCCTACTTTTATTGCTGTTTAGAGCATGTGACCCGAGCTTTTTTCGGTGGTTGCTGAGATAACATCGCTTAAAGTTTTGTAAAAATTTTTCTGCAGCTGTTATTTTGATAGATATTTTATATTTTCAAAACTTTGAACGAAGATATCTCAGCAACCGCTTCAAATTAAATATATATTTTTTTATTTTGTTTCTACAGATCTGTAGAAACAAAATAAAAAAATTCATCGGATTTGGATAGGTGGTTGCTGAGATATCCTCGCTTAAAGTTTTATAATGAATAGTGCCCGTCCGGACGAAATATAGAAAATATTTTTATTTGATTGGTTACCTTTTTTTTTTTTACCCGGGTAGCAGAATCTTTACGACCTACCCGTGGGTTGGGTAACCCGGATACGGGTCCAATTCTTATCGAGATCCACGTGTACATATATATATGACATATTCACTGTTACGTTAGAAATTCGTCTCTTACTCTTTACTACCTTCATATATTGAAAATAATAATGGGTAATGATCAAAGCAAAACATCTGAAACACGATTTTCAGAAATATTTTCAGAGTTCACAGAAGAGGAAAAAGCTACACTCTTAAAAGTTTTTGACGAGTTCGCTTCTGATAATTCGAATATACAAAAACCCAAAATAACAGAAGTAACCGCAACAAGTATCAAAGTAGGAAATTGAATGACTTTATTACTTTTTTTTCATGTTTAACGTTCAAAATTACGAGTAATACTCTATATATTTATTAGAATTACCTACCCCCAACGATTGGAGAATCGCTCAAAAATGGAATTGTTACTTATTTTCAATCAACGTCAGTTGAAAGTTCAATTTCTACTAAAATTTTAGAAAAGACATCATTTCAAATATCGCCTTCTAATGTGATAACTAAGCTTGGCTTTGTATCAGCGATTCATAATTTGACGAAAACTTTGCCAATTGATAGATCCCAGGCTATACATATTATAGGACAGTTATCACAAAGTACGCTTATAGATTTTGTAAGAGATGTTGTTCGAGCAGCACTGGCATATTGGTTTGAAGGAAGTTATTCACCCAAGCAGAGAAAATTAAAAAAAGAAAACAGTAGAATATTTAAAGATGATATGTACTTGATTAATTTAGTAATATTGAAACCAAAAATTAAACATAAAGAATCAGAAGATGACGAACTTTTAGCAAAGTTTATTAAAGAAACAGAAATAGAAGGGTATTTTAATCAAGACCGATTTATGAATTGGTACACTAATAATTTATTATTTCAACAATTATTCAACATACTCGTAAATCGATCGTTTCTATATCAGACAATTCCATATCATTCAGAAGATGAAATGATCAAGTTACGATTTTCAAATCAAATCTCACCAGAAATTTATTCAACATATAAATTAATGGAATTTTCGAATCTATTATCACCAGCCGATTATTATATTTTAAATGATAATCTACCATTAGATTGTAAAAATACAAAACATACACTGTTATTCTCGTCAGTGCGTGATGGAGGAAGTTGGAACGCATTTGTCGATTCATTAATTTATCAAGGATCTACGTACATCATAATAAAAGATGAAGATGGTTATATATTCGGTGGATTTGCATATGATGATTGGAAACAAAACCCAAAGTTTTACGGGGATAGAAAAAATTATTTATTTTCTATTAGACCTAAATTAAGGTATTATCCTACTACTGGCTATAATAATAATTTTCAATATTTGAATTTTGGTGTAAAGACTTTACCAAATGGTTAGTGTGGTTTATTTTTGGGATTTGTAATTATTGAACTTAAAATCATTATACTAATGCTTTTCTTTTTCAAAAACTAGGTCTGGCTATGGGTGGACAGTTTGATTACTGTATGTTATGTCAAAAAAAAGCAATATTTGTTATTTATTATTGTCTGGTTTGATCGAACTTATATCGTTTGTATTATAAATAGGCGGTCTATGGATTGATTCAGATTTTATTCACGGGCATTCAAAAGCTGCACCACTTTCATCAACGTATTCGAGTCCACGATTATCTAAACAAGAAGAATTTTTGATAGACGAAGTTGAAGGTAAGATTAATTTAATGATTTTCTTTATAGATATATGTATATATTCTTTATTGACAGTATGTAAACAAATTTCTTAAAAATAGTGTGGTCAGTAAGGCCAACTCAAGTTGATTTGGATGAAATTCAAAAAGGTCCAAAACGTTCAGCGTTGGACAGTAATCGTGGAGAGTTAGAACTTTTAGAAATGGCTACAGGTCGTAAAATGTATTCAAAATATGTTAGAGAACCTGATACTTCGTACGATGATGATGATGATGAATAGTAATCATTTATATAAAAGATAATTTATAATGTTGAATGCAATACAATATTTGTAGCTCATTTTAATCATGAAATCAAAACTTTTAAATTTATAATAAATTTGTGAAAATATTAATGTTTTATAATATTATCGCCTTTTAAAATCATATGCCGTGAACTTACTCGTCAACTAAGCATTTACTATTCTGATAAATTATAAGTTAAAATGGATCACATCCAAGATACTGTCATCTAAAAATGAAAGTGTTAATCTTGAGCATGTGCATACAACATAAATCTTCTTGAAACGATCCACATTAATTGTAACTCGAACATAAATTCAAAAAATCCTAAAATTAAAAATGCTTAGTTTAAATGAATATCGTTAAAAGAAAATCTAAATTTTATAAAGATTTTTTCGATTGGAAACATTATTTAATTTTTTTGAAAAAAATTTCAGTGGATTATTCTTTCCTATATCAATAATAAAATTTCAACGGTAAAAAAATAAAAGTTTCGGGGAATAAAAAACAAGGTTTCAGAATTAATCCTTGAGAATCTATTTCAATAAAAAAAAGGTGACGTATTTTTTAAGACTATTAAAAAAAAAAAAGGTTATTTCATTTATGAATGCATTTGTTTGTATTACATTTTCAATTACATATCAAGTTGAGAAAATGAAGTTTTATTGGTTTTATTCCATGAAATATCCGTTAGCAATTTCGATTTTAAAGTTTTACTGCCTAAATATTTTATGACAAACTCTAATAAGTTACAGTAATTTTTAAATTTCGATTCATATATATAATTTAAAATATTCATTGTATCTATGACGTTTAGAACACAAATGGACCCAACAGAAGAGTCATCAAATAAATTTTCACCGGATTGTGATAATTCAGTATTATAAAATCATAATTTTCTTTTATGTCTATATACGTAATATTTATCCAATTTAATAAACTCAATTAACTAACTTTATATAAATTATGAAATATAATTAACATATTTCGAAAATAAGTGAGGGTGCAAAATGACCTATTTCTGCTTTGAAATTTTAAAATCAGAAAAAGAAAAGAAAAATGAATATCCTTTTTTTGATAATTTGTTATCATATGATATTATCGTAATAAAAAATCATAAGTAATGTTACAGAGTTATTATATAATAAGCTTACAAATCAAA